AGTGTACGTGGGAAACACCCACCAGACAACAGGCCATCAGCCTTGAAGAAACAATAAGACTTTGAAGATACTCATCCCTCTCCTTCCTGGGAGGGACCTTGTGGTGACACTACTAGGTCATGTTACTTGGTACTAAACACCATCTTGGACTTCTAGTACTTTTCCACTAAAAGGAGGAGGTCAAGACTGGAAAACAAAAGATTCCCACCTTATGTAAATCTTATTTAAGGCTGAGGAATAAGCTGATCTAGGTTCACTCTTCACTGACTCCCCAGCCAGCGTGACTGCTGGAAACACCTAAGGAACAAGGACAAAGGGAAAGGGGGAGGAGTACTGAACCCAGGCTGGAAAAGGGATCTGGTCTGTGAATAAAATACCTGAGAATTTAAGCTACAAGAAAGGTAGCTAACTTCAAGAATTTCTGCAACCGGCCCAAAAGGAACATTTAGGGTGAGAAATTACTTCTTGAAACCAGTCTCTTCAAGATCTTAAGCTTAGTATGCATGTTTTGTTTTATTTGCTTAGTAATGTGCTTTGTTCTGTTTGCTATCCCTTATAATCAGTTACAATCTGCCTTTTTACAGTTAATAAACTTATTTCTTGTTTATAACATAACCCAGTTTGTGCAATTCATATCTTGGAGGGGCAAGAAGCTGTGCATCTCTCTCTCCACATTGAGGGAGAGGGCAAATTTTTATGAGCTTGCGCTGTGAAGACTTTTCTATACAGCACAAGACAATATTATTTTGGGTTTACTACCCAAAGGGTGTGTGTACTTGAGTCCTGGGCAATTTCCTAGCTGAATCTTCCCAGAGAGAGCTGCTTGCAGACTGTGTGTGATTCTACAGCTGGTTCATCTCTACCTGTGTGTGTGTGCTGCCAGAGGCCGGAGAGCCCGATTCAGCAAAACAGGGAGATGGAGCCCAGGCTAGTGGAGCAGGAGGCTCAGTGAAACTGCAGTACGTCAGGTGGCATCCCGGATCAGGGTGAGGTGGGGGGGATCCAACCCGTCACACAAATAATCCCCCCTGCCCCCAGGAGAATTACTGCCACTACTACATCAGGGTTTACAGGAAGATCCTTGGGCAGTAATCAAAAGCATTGAAAGGATCAAGTACTAGAAGTAGGGCTGAACCACCTGAAATGCAGGAATCAGGATTTGTAGATATGCATCTTTCTTGCAGATTAATTCCAGAGAGTCTTCAGGGGATAGTCTTAGAAGAGATTAATACATGGTTTCCATCCTGAACTTCTGACACCCTACAAACTGGTTCAGCCACTTTACTTCCAGTCTTGTGCCTACTAAGTTTTTGGAAACTATTAATAGCTTTAAATACCCACCCGCCCTGGAACTCAGGACTAGTTGGGACATTCCAAATAGCTCTAATCACATGGTTTGTGAAAAAGTGTCCAGGCAATTTCCAAATAATTAAAAACTCCTTAAAGAAGATAATCTATTATTTCACTGCCTGAAAAATCTTCTGCGCAATGTCTAAGCTAAACAGTACCACACGATCATTGCCAAAACACTTGTAAAGAACATCCAGGAAACCTAGCAGAGTGTCATTTATTAAGAGGCGTGATTGCTGACCAAAAATACTCAGTTGCTTCATGATGACTCTTAGGGGAGCTGGAATTGCTTTACATTATCTGAGATCCCCCTCCCCCCCAGTTCCATGCATGCCCTCCAAATATACGCAGCCTAAGCGTTAGGGCTCAACAGGGTTGCAGATAGTTCAAAATTCCTACAGTCTCCTCAATCATCTGAGTGCAGGTATCTTTGGAAGAGACATTGGCTTCTAATGGAATGGATGACCATGTTTTCATGGGCTACATCTTCATTTGAGCTGGGAGGTGCGATTCCCAGCTTGCGCAGACATACCCACTCTAGCTCTGCTAGAGCCAGCATCTAAAAATAGCAGTGTGGCTGGGGTAACACTGGCAACAGCTCAGGCTAGCTGCTCAAGTAACATACGCAGGCCCCCTGGGTATGTATGTACTCTGGTGGCTAGTACAACCTGCTGCCCATGCTACCCCAGCCATACTGCTATTTTTAGCATGCTAGCTCGAGAAGAGCTAGCGTGGGTATGTCTACATGAGCTGGGAATCACACCTTCCAATTCAAATGCAGACATACTTCAGTGGGGTCAACCAAAAGGGAGGTTAAGCAAGCATGCTGCATTTCTCTAATTTAAAATGCTCATTCATTGGCCTGTCTAAGGACTTTTTCACATCCACAGTCTCCCAAAAAGCATTAATTCTCAGAAGAGGCTTTGCCTTGGGCTGCATGTATGCCTGAGACCATACTGGCCCATAGAAATTCTTTGATTTACCACCAGAAGCTACTGTTGTGCCTGATGCAGTGGGTATTCCACAATAAACAAAAGGAAATGAGGATGGAGGCCCATATTGTATCCCTGAAGCTAGTACACTCATGGTCCTTGAGAAATATCCTTGGGGAAAGCATCCTTCTCATTTCTGCTTATTCTAAGAGAAATTAGGAAAAACTGGAGAAAGTTTTTTTTAAACAACTGCCCTGAATAGTGACAGTTTCCTTGTGCTACTTTTTTTCAAGGAGCCTGGAGGAGAACGAGGAGGAGACATGGCCTAAGTGACTAGGGGTAGACAAAACGAAAGAATCTCATTCCTTGCCCGTCGAGCGGGGAGGGAGGAGAAAGAGCAAGATGTGTGAGGGTCATAGCAAACTGATTGTATATTATTTCTAAAAACACTTACAATAAACCTTCATCTATGCTCCCTGCTGCAAGGAGTAGCCTACCTTGGAACTCTAGCACAGGGAGCATTTCACTAGGGATTTGCCCCTGGAGGTTGTCTCCAGGTTTCCACCAAAGGGAGGATTCCTGGATATCATCCAAAACATGTGCATGTAAACGCCCTTGGTCTGCAGCCAGATCCTTAAGATCACACGGTATTAGACAACACTTAAGGGAGATAATAAACTGAGTGCCCTTGAATTGTTGCATTTAAATGTATCATATAGCAAATCGGGAAGGCATCTAAACTGCTGGGTGCAGGAAGAGTTGCTCAACACTGTTAATGCTCCTGCAACCTTTGTGTTCCTTTCCCCCACCTCTTGTCTGTCTGTTCTCTTTCAATTATCAATTTCGGGAAAGGGTGGGTGGGTTCTCAGCAATTTCTGAACATCTCAAATTGCTCCCAAAATCACTAGTCACACTTTTGAAAATCTTGGGACTTTCACTTCAGTGGGATCAGAACTGGGCCCAATGAACAGAAAAGGCAGGAATGAAGATTCCTATTTCTTTTGTAACTTTATTTTTGATTACATGGCTTTTTATTTTAATAAAGCACTGGTGCTTTACACATTTTACAGCTAGACTGTAAATTTAAAAGTAATCTTCAATTTATTTTTAAGTAGTGTATAGTTACCCAGTTCCGAAAGATGTGAAGAATCTATATTTTGGTTCCCCAAGAGATGCTTTGAAGTTTTCTTTCCAGTTCAGTGGCACACAGCTAGAACTCTAACTTACAGATAGAGCAGGTGCAATGCATCTCTTAGTGTATTATACTGAATTTTGACTTCATAATTTTAACTGAAAAAATGTATCACATGATATGTAAAAACTGCTCATAAACAATACATAATTCTACCAAGCACTATAAAATATACATTTTATCTTAAATATAATGGATCAGCTCATTAGGCTTATACTTTGTAATCAGCTTGGGAATGTGCACTACACAAGACAGTGAAAATTCATATTCAGAAGCAGATGGAGAGAAAAGCTGAGCTAAGCAGAGAGAGACTTAATTGCAAATTATATGCAAGTAGTGAGAACAGAGGTGTGTGTGTGTGTCTCTCTCTCCCCCTCCTTCCCCCAAAAGGAACCCAAAACTTGGAGGTGCAGGTTATGGCAGGGAAGAGAACTTTTTGTGTCATTCATCCATCCAGTGACTGCTTGAAGAACAAACACACCAGCATTCGTGCATAGCTTGCCAGTAACTCTACACTGTTGTACATAATGTAAAATTTTATGGCTGATTTTCATGCCAAGAGCAGCATGCCTATTTTTTTTCCTTTGTTAAATTAAAAGAATATCAACAGAAGATTTAAGGAGACAAGCAAGTAATTCAATTTACTGAAGCACACTTCTAATTCAGACTCATTAACCAAACTCATGGTGCATAGGTAAAGAATGAGTGAGATAAGATTGGATTTCTGTGAAGTTTTGAATCTAAGTTGTCAGCTGATGTACTTTTATTCAAATGGTGGCAACAAGGCAAAGATCTTCTGGCCACGAACAGCACCCTAATCAAAGAGGCACTGGCAGGCATTGCACCCCACCCACAGAAAGAATGATACAGTCATCTTTTCTTATGCTTTTTTCCCAAGCATGACCCATTTATTTCATGTTACAGCAAGATTTTAGTTTTAGCTAATGATTTGACTGATATGATTCAACAGTTAACGTGAACAACTTAGAGCAGATATTTACAGAAAATGGGAAAGAAGCTGTGGCATGATCCCATATATTTCTCACATCCAATGTTTCTCTGTTTGTTAATCACAGGTTAAAATAAAAGTCCCTTATCTCAATAGTTAGAAGTCAAAGAAACCTCAAAGGAAATAAGAGTTTATTGTTCAGGCAAGGATTCCCAATTTGCAAAACTAATATTAATATATAATAAAACTGTCTCCTGTGGAAGAGAAGTCACAACCAATTTTTTAAATAGTTCAGTCATGCTGCACTTTAGTTTACTTCTTATTCTCTCAAGCCTTATAAAGTCAATTTCCCATTAAATTGCTTACAGGATCACATTTTATCTTTTATTACAAGGTAATGGCTCTTTTTTCCTGAATTGCTTTAACAACCACAATCCCATTATTACCAAAATATGAGAGACAATATCCATTTCCTAAGGGCCTTTACCAAAGACAGCACTTGTTAAAAAGCCAAATAATAAGCACCAGCAAAGAAAAGACAGTTGGAAATGTCACAATAAGGACTGTTGCTTGTTACCTTCTAGGTGATCCATCCTCATGTGGCTGAATAATCACCACCTTTACTGTCACCGACGTGCGTAAAAGGTCAATCATTTGTTCATGAGTCAAGGTTGCCACAGCCACTTTACAGATCTCAACTAGACGGCTCCCTTGCCTTAGGCCTGCCTTCCATGCAAAACCAAATGGCTCCACATCTGCTACTATTCCTTCGAAGTTAACGTGGAATCCAAGCTGGCCCAACCCATTCCTCCGTAGGGTCATTTCCGTTGTTTCACATCCTCTGGTGACTATCTAAAGGAGTATCAGATTGTTATGCTACTGTCTTTATAGGCTGATTTCTTTGGAAACATGAAAGGATCTATTTTCTGACACGATAAAGCTATATTTGGTTTCATGTGCAATACTCTTAACATACTAATGGGTGACTAAAAATCATTTTGTCATTTATGGTTGACTACAGGTCTCTGCATAGAGCAAAATACATGAAGATCTTCAGAGTCCTAAAATTTGACTTCCCTGGAACAACCAGCTGTCCTGTGTCAAATCTTACTGAATACTTAGCAGCTGTCTTAGTTTCAAAACACAAGGCAAGCAAAATGCAAACCTGTCAATTACTTCATTCTTTGTTAGCCGATTGACTGCAGGTGTGTAGTGGGTTTTTTTCTTCAGGAAAATAACCTTGAAATTTAAGATGAGTCAAATCAAGTGAAAATTTTCCGTTCCAACAGATTCTCATCCCCCAACAGTAAGTAACAAAATAAGATAATGTATTTCTTTTGCTCCAGCAATCAGATTCTGATCTATGACATCCATGCCATTGCCATCTCCAGATGTAGGCTTTGCTACAAATGGGAGAAGACTGATTATTTCATTGGGAACTGAGAGAAGAGAACTGATATCTTTCATACTTAATTGGAAGTTATTCTGGCATTATATGGAATAATCAAGTAAACTGAAATTTTAGCTTTTACTACAGGGATTTCTTTGTCCATACTACATAAAATTGAACAGTTTCACAAACGGTAAAGCAATCCAGGGACAATTCAGTAGTTTGTGCAATACATTAGTGCACTAATTTTTGGAGATTGAAGGTCAAATTCTGGCTTAGGTCATAACACAGGGTACAGGACTGGAAGGAACCTCCTGGGTCATCAAGTCCTGTCCCCTGCAATCACAAGCAACCTAGTCATAGTCCCATTCATAAATTTATTAAGCTCCATTTTAAAACTTGAGTTGTTTGCCCAAACTTCTCCTATTGGAAGGCTGTTCCAGAACCTTAGGGCAGGTCTACACTTACTTCCTGGTCCGGCCGTAAGCAATCGATCTTCTGGGATTGATTTATCGCATCTTGTCTAGACGCAATAAATCGATCCCGGATCGATCCCGTAAGTGCTCACCGTCGGTACTCCAGCTTGGCGAGAGGAGTATGCGGCATCGACGGGGGAGCCTGCCTGCCGCGTCTGGACCCGCGGTAAGTTTGAACTAAGGTACTTCGAATTCAGCTACGTTATTAACGTAGCTGAATTTGCATACCTTAGTTCGAAGTGGGGGGTTAGTGTGGACCAGGCCTTACTCTTCCGATGGTTAGAAACGTTCTAAACTCCAACCTTCTTTTAGTTTCTAGTCATAAGTTAAAATTAGTGTTGTATATATATTTTACCTTTTATTAATTGCTTTAATTCAAGGATATCCAAGTGCTTTACAGACAAAGAATTAAGTCTCAACATTCCTATAAGAGAAATAACTATTTGAAAGAGGGGAAAGCTGGGACACAGATCATATGATTTGCCCAAGGTTACACAGTAAGCATGTGCCAGAGCCAGGGAAGGAAGCCAGTAATTCCAGCTCCTCCTACTCTCACTCTAACCACTGAATGACTGATTGGAAAAGCTTTGAGGAACTTTGCATAACTTGTGCCTGCACTGTAACTAGCTCAAAGCCACTACTGTTACTTTCTTACAAAGTTTTAAAGGTGCTAGACATGTTGTTTTTACACAATGCTGTCAGTACAACAGTAAGTTCTGCAACCTAGTAGGAAGGCTAAAAGTGGAACTCAACACCTTAGAGTAGGACATTTTTTAAAATTCTTATGTCATCCATTTATCCTTAGAGGGCCAGCCCCCAGCCCCTGTAACATCCCAGCATGCTCTGATTACATACTCATGGCACAAGCATGGGAGGCCCACTGGAGAACTGAGATGATATTCAGAATAGTAAAATGTGCCTCTTTTCCTTTGGGTTCCACAATACAAACTTTTGCCCAAATTTCCTGTCCCAGTGTGACTACCAACATGTACTATGCTATTTATATTGCATCAAACAGGGAAGCTTGCTGGAGAATGAAGCCACGTTTATGTGTGTTCAGATGTCTACTTCATATTGTCCAGTTTTGCAGTTTTAAAAATATTTTATCATATTTGAAATATCAAATACTGAATGCTGAAAAACCACAAAACAGACTAACAGTAAAAACAGCACTTTTCTCAACTCTCCATAAGCCAGTAATGCCAGCCTCCATCTCCCATTTGAGATATTGTCAAACAAGCTCCTTTGGGCTTTCTCCTATGCTGCCCCTTCATGTTTGGGAGGAGCTCTCTGTAAACATCCACAAAGCTACTTCATATCTTGCTTCAAATCCCTTCTTAAGACTCTCCTTTGCCATGATACCCACAAGAAAAACTTGCCTGAGACCACTGCCCAGTACTATCATTTCCTGGTACTCCTCCATTTATCTGTAACCATCTGGTGTCTTACGTTATACTTTGATTTTAAGCTCCTTGTTGTTTGGTGTCTGTACAGTGCTTAGCATAGCTGACTTCTGTTCCATGACTAGGGCTGGTAGGTACTATAGTACTACAAATAAAAATAATAAACTTATTAGCCTTCTGGGCTCACTGCAAAGCCTACTATTTCCCAAGGCTTTTGGCAAGGGAGGAGAATGATAGCTGATTGGAAGGGGTTTATTAGATGGTGGATCTTTATCTAATAACATAAGAATGGCCAAAGGTCCATCCAGCCCAGTATCCCGTCTACCGACAGTGACCAATGCCAGGTGTCCCAGAGGGAGTGAACGTAACAGGTAATGATCAAGTGATCTCTCTCCTGCCATCCATCCACCCTCTGACAAACAGAGGCTAGGGACACCATTCCTTAGCCATCCTGGCTAACAGCCATTAATGGACTTAACCTCCATGAATTCTATTCATAGAAGTCTGATAAATTAGTTATAAAATGGTGGACATGATGGACATCTTATGCCTCAATCATACAGTGAACTCCACACAGATGGACTCCTGACTTCAGCAGTGCTCTCTGATCAGGTATGGGGGTCTGATCCTCCACTAGATCTATGCAGACAGAGTCTCATGATATGCAGATGTTAATGTGTGTAATGGTCACCTTTAAACAGCATGAGCCCCTCTTGAGATTTTCATAAATCAAATAACTAGCTAAAGGTAAAGGGTGTCTGGGTGTTTAGAACATTCTCCGTTAAAAGCCAACATTTACCACCTGTGTGAATGTTTCAGGGGAAAGGAGTCCAGCATTCCAAAATTCAGCTTTCAAATTAACTTTTAAAGAGAAATATTCCTACAGTTTAAAAAAAGGGGGTGGAGGAAGAGGCGAGAAAGAAAAGGGAGCTTTTAAAAACAAAAAGGTTACTCAACATAGTGACCAATCCTTCACAAATAGCATCAAATTTGAGAGGTCTGGGGTGAAAGAGAGGAAGGGCACAATTCAATAGAACATGAACTACTTGAGGGTTATTCAATGTACCTTGCTGATAACTGTTTAAGGACGTTGCATTTAACATTGAACTTCATCTGCCATTTTGTTGCCGTCACCCAGTTTTGTGAGATCCCTTTGTAACATTTTGCAGTCAGCTTTGGACTTAACTGTTTTGAGTAATTTTGTATCATCTTTCAAAGTAGCAGCCGTGTTAGTCTGTAGCCGCAAAAAGAACAGGAGTACTTGTGGCACCTTAGAGACTAACAAATGTATTTGAGCATAAGCTTTCATGGGCTACAGCCCACTTCATCGGCTGCCTATGCGATGAAGTGGGCTGTAGCCCACGAAAGCTTATGCTCAAATACATTTGTTAGTTTCTAAGGTGCCAGGAGTACTCTTGGTTTTTTTTTTTTTGTATCATCTGTAAATTTTGCCACCTCACTGTTTACCCCTTTTCCCACATCATTTACGAATATGTTGAACAGCTCTGGTCTCAGTACAGAAACCTGGGGACACCACTATTTACTTCTCTCCATTCTGAAAATGGACCATTTATTCCTACCCTTTGTTTCCTACCTTTTAACTGGAGGGCCTGGCAATGCTTTCAGGATCATCTAATGATTCTTCATTTAATTTAATGACAAGCCTTTTGTTATCTTAATCACCCTGCCTCTGTTTATAAACAAACTCCCTGTCCCAAGGGCGGAAGCTGTTAGCAGCACAGAACTCACATTCCACACTCAAGCTCCCTCTGGGGCAAGGGCGTGCCCTGTGAGCAGACCTCAGGTACAAAACTATGGCTCCTGGGTGCTGAGCACCCCGTATTTTTTTCCATGGGTGCTTGAGCCCTGGAGCGCCCACAGAGTCAGTGCCTATGTTGTGGTCGCAAACTAAAAGTTCCTAGTATCAGAGGGGTAGCCGTGTTAGTCTGAATCTGTAAAAAGTGACAAAGAGTCCTGTGGCACCTTATAGACTAACAGACGTATTGGAGCATAAGCTTTTGTGGGTGAATACCCACTTAGTTGGATGCATCCGATGAAGTGAGTATTCACCCACGAAAGCTTATGCTCCAATACGTCTGTTAGTCTATAAGGTGCCACAGGACTCTGTCACTTTTTAAAAGTTCCTAGTTTGCATCAATGTCATCCTCTTCAAAGGTTTAGTTTGAGCCCACAGAGTCCACACAAGGGAGTTACAGCACAACACATTGGTATGCACTGCTATTCGCACCCCTGAACACTGAATCGTGGGGCAGTGTAGACAGATCCTAAGTTGCTAACTCTGAGGCTTCAGGCCAATAGATTTATTTAGCCGAGAATATGGTTATTACCTCAAAAAAGGAGCAGTCTCAAGTTAAATGTAAATAATGTTGTACTGTAACAGATGGTTAGATTTGAGTGAAATACAAGGCCATTCAAATCAAACTGAGTGAAGTCTGTTGTAATGATTAATGTCTCCAAAGACAGTTTTCACAGATAACCATTTCAACTAATGCTATAAAAAAAACTAAATGTTTTTATATCTCATATATAATGAAGATCTGTCTGCAGAGACTCAGTAGATATCTTTCCAGTTTGCCAAACCTGCTATTATTTCATGTATGTTTTAAGATTCAAGAAGTAATAAATGAAGACAGTGCAGATTACTAGAATGGGACTACAAAAACCTGGGTTCTATTCCCAGCTTTGCTACTCGCCTGTTGGGTAACCGTGGGCTAGTCATTTCCCCTCTGTACCTCAGTTTCCCCATCTGTAAAATGGGGATAATGATACCACTCTCCTTTGTAAAGTGCTTTGCGACCTACTGAGGAAAAGCACTATGCAAGAGCTAGGTAGTAGTATTAAAATAAAAAACACTAAACAATTTGTGTTACAATATGCAGTGATGGGATAAGAAACTAACATTCATTAACCTTATTTTCAGCACAACGTTGAGCCAATTTATAACTATCCAATTAGTGATAATTTTACAACAGTAACATGATAATTAGAGAACATTTTTTCTAAATTTCAGAAGGAAAATATTTGTATAAGGAAAATGACAATATCTGAAGAACTTAACAATGAGGTAAATACAATGCAAGTGACAATAATATGAACTTACAAATATTAACCCACTGAAAAGTAATATTTGTAATATTTACAAATATTAACCTGTACTGGAAGAAAGACTCCATCACACAGGGTAGGTATTAATCTCAGCCCTGTGCAGCACTAAGCATCCTCAACAGTCTTGAAAGTTTAGGGTAGCTCAGCACCTTGCAGCATCAGGCCTTTATTTTACACATCAGTTTAATCCTGGCCACTTCATAGCTTGTACTTCAGCTCTACTAATCTCCAAAAAATAGGTCTAGTGATTGTTTTCCAGTAGAAGCCTCAATCCAATATAAAAAAGGCTTATGCCACTAACCCAGAGGCGTAGCGAGCGCCCTCTGTACCCTCCGACCGGAGGGGGCCCCGCAAGGAAGGGGGCCCCTAAAAGTGGCAAAATAAATACCGCATTCCAGTTTCTACATTGTAAGGGGCCCCGCCCGGACATATGTTCGGAGGGGGCCACCGTTCGGAGGGGGCCACGTTCTTTGTTGCTACGGCCCTGCACTAACCTCATTTAATTTAAGGGGTAAGGTCAAAGTCAAACTGGAACGAGAGCAGTGATACCTCAATGTTTTATACCCTGCAGCCTGTATCAGTCCATTAGTACACATTTGTAATAGCTATAAGTTAAATAATTTAAGATGTTGAGCTCATAGAATGCCTGAGCTCCACCTGTCTTGATTGAGATTGCACCAGCTCTGGTAGTTCGTGTTAACTGATCTAACTGCCTTCATTTTCTTCCAGCTCATCCATGCAAAATAAGCAGTATATTCCATGCTTTATTTAGAGGATTTTCACTGTTTAGGTAGCAATCACATTCAAGTGTATTCTTTATTTTTATTTATTTATTTATTTATTAATTAAATTAAGGTATTTTTATTGAGGGGTGTACTGTGACCACTAGGCCACAGGGCTGGGAACCAAAATTAAAGTTTTAATCCTGGCTTTAAAACTAAAACCCTATGTAGCCTTGGACAAGCCAATTTAATTAACTGCATCAGATTAGTCACCCATAAAAGCAGGATGATAATATGGATCTATTCCACATGGTGTTCTGAGGAATAATGTTTGTAAAGCTCTTTGAAGTTGGAAAGTGCAATATCAGTTTAAATATAGGAAAATTTGAGTTCTTTCCCAAAGAATGATAGACATGAATAAATTTGGTAGATCAATTTAAAAATGTGACTTACCTCTAGTCTTTGAACAACTTCTCTGATGTCATCAGAACAATTATCAATTGCAGACAGAAGAATGCATTCTCCTCTTTCATAAAAGATTTTGATACTCATTAATCCTGATGTCCATCCAATAACATCTCTGCAGGAGCAGTTAAACACAACATTTTTGGACTCCTTTTCAATCAACATGATAAATTCATTGGAAATTCCAAGGAGACATTCAATGTCTGCAGACTGGCCAAAGTCCCGTGCTATCACATTCCACATAATTGCTCCAACACTAAATAAATGAGCATCCTTTCTTGGTTTCACTTTCTCCTTTTTCTTTGCACCTAGAGTAATAAAACTGAACTTCACTGAAGTATCCACTGTAGCTGTAGTAACAAAATTTTCTGCCAGATCTTTCAAGTATTCTTGTCGCGTCCTGGTGGCCATGGCTCGGAATTTTTCTGACTTGTGTGCTGCATTTTCAGCATTAATAACTTTGGCTAAAAGGAAGTCCCTAAAGACTGCTGATTTTGGGAAAGTTACTCCTTTGGGGATTGGTGGACCAAACGGGGGTACATCTTTTGATCTTGAAACTCCAACGCTAGAAATAAAAAAGGAATAAAATGGATAACTGCACCAGCAGAACCTCATTACAGGACTATGACCTATATAACCCATTGACACAGGTGAGTTTCAATGTACAAATTGAGACAGATGAAATTTTAGAAATTAGGAAGCTGTGTATCTGAAACATACAGGAAACCTATTACCGTATATTTGCACACATCTACAGATCAAATAAAATGGGTATAAACAAAATTGACTGGACAGTCTTATAAAACAAAGACATTTACTATTTTAATTATATGAATTAATAAAAGTCCAAAGTCCAGGATTTACCAAGCTGCAGCATTTCAAGAAGGACTGTTTATAAAGTGTCTGTTTCTTCTTCTTTTCAATGGGATAAATACAAAATGCTTCCTACGGGTGTACTGTTATTTAGACAGATCCCTAATTTAAAGGAGCTTTAAAGTTGAATTTTCTTAAGGCAAATATATCTTATTTACTTTTCCACTCAGTTGCTCCATCTCTGACAAACTGAACCAACTCCCCCCCAACTCCTGTTACACCCATATCATCCCATTGACTTTGATAAGGTAGTACAGATACAATTGAGGGCAGAATTTGATATATAGGGTATATCTGGCACATTTGTCCAAATCCTCCCATACTTGAGTAAAAAAGTTATAGGAAGAAAAAAGTCTGAAGAAAGCCAACTGCCAAATGGCACAGTTCCTGTTGCATGCTCCCCTCTAATGGAGAAGGTCTGAGACCACATGTAATAGGGAAGGGAGAAGGATTCATCCTAGCTGAGGGAAACAGATTCCATAGCCTCAGTATACATAGGTATCTGCCCGCTCCCTACAAGAGCTGGTAGTGGGGCCAAATAGTACCACCTTTATCCTTGCTGAGTAGTATCTTATTCTAAAATAGTCTCCTTAAATAGAAATAACATATGGAATGAAGTCCTATTCAGTGAGGGTAAATATGGCACAATCTGGCCTATGGAGAGCAGCTGCTGCCCCAGCATGGGGTCTTAATTTGCAGAATCCTGATTATGCTGGTTGTGGCAGAATAGCCTCTGCAGGTTTGAGAGCAAGGGGAAGTATTCCATGGAGTTGCTGCTTCATGTCAGATCTCTATTAGCCAACCCTTGAACAAAACTGAATGATTTTCAAAAGACTATAGATTTCCAGGAGATCCACTGTCATTTTATTTGAAGTTGACAGAACGAACAACAAATGTAATGCAACTCATAACTGGATTAAAATAAATACACACAAAATGTCCATTAAAATCTATCAGACAGCTGTACAATTTATGACTGTATTCCTGGCAAAGGCTTTAAAAAAGAAACTCGTATTTCACGTGAAATTCATAAATACATGCGGGAGTGGTAGAAGATACTGTCTCTGAGTAACCAAAACCCAGAAGCCAACCTCTCATACAAAAGGCCTTTGGGTAATGGGCAGCTGGCACAACAGACAGAGCATCTACCAGACAGAGGTTTGAAGAATTTCTTCTTAAACTTGGCTTATATCTTTTACCTTTTCTCTGCACCTCCCTTTAAAAAAAAAATCAATACAACATGCAGTACGGATATTACCCAGTTCCAGGTTACTTGCAGAGCAACATACTCTCAGACTTCTGTTTTATTCCCAACTTCGGCAACCCCTGCCCTAGCTGTGGAACTAGAAGAAGCAGATTACCCTAGAAACTATACACATTACCTCTTCTATCACAGTAAGAATACATATGTGCGGGACTTAGACCAATATTGGCATTAATTTCTTAGTACTAAAGAAATCAGTTTTAAAACAAAACTAAGAGAAACCAGGTTGTCATTAGCCGATAAGAATCTCAACTTTGAAAATACATAGAATATAAAACTAAAGATATTTGGCAGCAGTACACCATTAGCATTTCAAAAAGGTTCATTTAGTAGGTCATGATCATTAGTGGTTTAAGTTCAGAGAGCTCTTTATTTCAGAGAAATGCCTTAAAACTAAAGAATATCCAGTCTGACTGATTTCAGTCCTTAGCCAGCTCATGAAGCTGACAGAAAGAGAGAAAAGAACCAGTGCCAGGCACATGTCTATGATGGGAGTACTCAGAGTTTTTTTTGTTTTTGTTTTTTGGTGGGACGGGGATTCCCTAGTCCAAGTGATGGAATTTTAAGACACTTGAAACCCTCATTTTAGAATGTTGACAGTGAGATTTGGGGAGATATTTTGAAACAAAAAGGGTTTTCATTAATATATAAATCACAGGCAAAACTGGCATTTATCTGAAAGGATCTCAAAGTACTCTGAAAACTATGTAAAGGGACCACTTAAACAAACCATGATTGAAATACAGTCAAATTTGTGATCACATCCTATAGATATTCAGCTAAATATATTGCCAGTGATTTATATTTGTATTAATAATCTTCTAAAATGACTTAGCTCTACCCTAAAAAGAAAGTTAATAAAAAACTAAAATTATTTCCATTGCTATAGCTTCAAGTCTTATTTTTAAAACCCGACTGCCCTTTATATGCCCACAAATAAGCGAAACAAATATCTACACCTTCAATTGTGCCTACAAAACTGTACCTACAATTTCATATGGACACAAACAAAGCTCTCTAAACTTAAACCACTAATGATCATGACCTACTAAATGAACCTTTCTGAAATGCTAATGGTGTACTGCTGTCAAATATATTAAGTTTTATATTCTATACGTCTTTAAAAATGAAACCCTAAAACAGAAGAGAAATGTAGCAGAAATTTAGAAAACATATACACAACTTCTTTGGGAAATACAAGATTGCTAGAAAAAGATGCTTTATTGGAATCAAAATAGCAAACATAAAAAATAATAAGTATCTACTCACCTATAGCACACATTTTCAGTGCAAGGATTATGCACTTTGACTATGACAAACACATGTTGAAAATGAGATCGAATATTTTTTGGAGTAAAAGGAAGTGCTCCAGGTTCTTGGAAGACAATGGTAACAATATCATTTCCTATGTGCCTTTTCCTTAGAAGCTACATACAAGAAATATGATTTTAAAAACAGTTAATTAAGAAATGATGTGTTTTCTTCACACTGGCAAAAACAATTGACAGCTTAATTTTAAAAATGGAAGAGTCACTTCAGAAAGTGGAGACATTCTTATAAGGCAGTATTATCTACATGGAGCTGCATGAAACCGGGATGAATGGGAAAGAGGTCTGGGGAAAAAACTGGGCTAAGCTCATAAGTTTACCAGCCTCTCTTTCTAATGAGATTCCTCTTTTTCTACGCCAGCCAATTTTCATCTCCCCTATATTAGTGTATTTGTATAGTAATATGAAAAGTGCATAACGTCATCTGACATTTATCACTGTCTAACATTTGTCTGTTCTCTCTCCTTTTCTACAGTAAAAGGCCTGTTTTCATATCTGAAACACAATATTGTTTATCTTTTCTCAGGAAACCTTTCCTTTCCCAAATTGTATTTAAACTTAATATTAGATTATGACACTAAACATTTTAAAAAAAATAGTTTCCTATTAAACTCTCAGCACAAATTCTAGCTATCTTCAATTTAGCAATGCGGCAGTGGAGACAACTACGAATGTACCAGAGATTCAAATTTACTGATAAAAACCTTATTATCGTAAGTAATTCTTTGTTGTCAGTTTATTTATGATAGGGATATATTTTAGGATTCATTTTATAGGTAATATAATCTTTTTTGTTACAGGTAGAAAATCTAATAGCCATGTAATTGGAAAAATAAGTGTCTAGTGAGGGAGAAGGCCTCTTCTCAAAAATGATTTATTTAGCATTTTGTGGATACAAAATGAAATTATGGATATTATTGTATGATTTGTACATCTCTAACTTAATTTTTTTAAAGAGAACTTTCTTTTTAAAGAGCTGCTGATGCTATTATGTAGATAGTGCTAGAACAGCACATGCTGTAGGGTACAGATGTATTGTCAGCCAAAACTCTGCAGAGCTTGCATTGTGGACTAGTGACTCAGATTCTTAAGGCTGCACTAACACGAAAGAGCCAAAATACAACTGAAAACTGTACAAAAATAAATTTAATCGACATCTACATGATATAGGGCAATGATACGATTATTTATCAAGTGTTTAGAATGAAATTATCATTTTGCTGTTTGGAATAATTGCTTTTCTTGGTTAGTTATGTGACAAGCCAATATTGCAACTAACACATAAAATAGGCAAAGTTATCTTATTGTTTATGTATAAATGCCTGTTTATGACTTTCATTGTGCCTCTCAATACTGAGGGCCAGAACCATACAACCTGAAAGCCAACAAGAATGACTAGAAATGCAATTCTGAAGCACTAACAAAAATACGCTACTTCAAATGCACTAAAAACATGTAAAGAAAAAAAGATTAACCAATGAGCACTTAGAAATATTTGCCAAATACTAATTTTTGTTCTAATAAATATAATTTCTTACTTATTAAATAGTGAAGCCACAATAAATGGCTGTTTAGGCAACTCTAAGATGTACATTTACTGCAGACAGATTATGTTTGAAATGCATAATAAAGTATTTGATGGTGTGTTAGATTGAATGTCAGAAATAACGTAATTTGTTTTACTGGTGAACAGTGCACTTAGATTGGCACAGTAAAGCACAAGTTCACGGTTAGAGGTTATCACTGCCTTACAGGTTGAAACCTACACAGCAGCTGAATTTGTGTCAGACCTCCCAATTAACAGATATAGCAAGGATACCAACTCATTAGTGTACACATTATTACTGATCTGTAGTTGGTTCTAACCAATTATTCTTCCTTGTTAAGTTAGAGTTCATGCCTATTGCTATACCTGTCCACGGGGGATTTAAATTGAAGTTGAGGAACCAAAACTCATGTAAGACTGAATTTAGTACATCGTCAAGGTAACTATTTTGTCTCCAAGCATATTCTTTTTCTTTTTAAATGTGATAAAATGTCTTTTGGGAGGTGCTGCTTAAACTGCCAATAATCATAGGACACATAGGCAAGAATAGGACACACATCTGCTAAGAGACAAGCCTAAGAAGTTTTTGAAACCTAGAACCACTGTATTAGCAACAGGGTCCTTTACAGTGAAACGGGGTTCTTGAGTTCTATCAATGAACTGATTGACATTTTTAGGTGCTTAAACCTTTAGAAAGCTTAACAATATTAACATGAATTTAAAAGGTAGTCAACATTCTTAATACCTTACCAAGTTTGTTGATATCTGAGTGACTTCCTTGAAATTTTTAAATAAAACCAATATAACTCTATCATTATAAATGGCTACCATGCACAAGTGATCAGTGAAGTTCAACACAAGGTGAGTGAAGGCAAAATACAGTGATGTGTCTGTGTACAGGGAATCAGAATGCAAAGAACTTGAAAGGGGAAGAGAAGGAAATTGGGGGTGAACTGGAACATGGAAGGAAGAACTCTAGCAGGATCAGAGAACAGGAGAAGTAGTAATTATTGAATGGAGAAAAAGGAGAGGAAAACACTTCCCTGGAAAGCATAAATCAGGATAGTGGGCTGAAAATGTAAGAGGAATTGAAGGAAATCAGACTAAGTCAAAATGTTTGTCCCATGCCCTTTTCCATTTTGTCCCCTTTAACCTATTCTCTTTCCAACTTTCAGCTCCTAGGCACTTTAGAGTCCTCAGTTTCCTCTTCCTCTCCCATTTCCAGGTCTGCTCAGGTTATTCTATCTGCCTTTCTAACATATTATGAAGATTCTCATGCCAAATGCTGGAGCACACTGGGGATTCTCAATAGGGTACACAGGCCACGCAGGGTTACTTACAGGAAGAAGACACCAGACACTCTCTGAGATCACTAGTATCAGGCTAAATTGTTATGGTAAAATGTGAAAATGAACTTAATACAACATGATGGGCAGTCAACAGGAAACCAGTGAAGAAGTTTTATATAAGAACTTGAGACACACAAAAGGGAGTCCAGTAAGGAGAATATGTTAGAAAAGCAGAAGCTGTTAGATTAAAAAGCAGTTACAGAAAGATATTAGTTACTGTATTGAATATGATATCTTAACCATGATACTTAACTCTAATTTTCTGATGTGTACATAAATCTGGAGGGAAAATATGGGCTATCATGTTAAAATGTAGCACACCTACTGGCTATGTAGAGCCATACATAACCTACCCATTTCTGTGGAATTTCAACCACCTATTCCAACTGAGAACCAAGGAGTTCTTGTGATATTTTTCACTCTATCATTCTTCATTCAATTCAATGGCGAAAAGTGAAGAGATATCAAGTAAAGAAACCTTCAAACTTATTTTAGTATATTTCTAAAATAAGCAAAGGGGCTTCAAAAAAGCTTGAATTTTAGTATGTGTTACTGTTCAATACAATAAAAACAAATGCCAAATGACATTTCAATCAGACCTGGTTAAACTGAGTTAGTTACATCCATGCGTCTGGTTCTCTCAAAAAGTTTAGCAGTAACTAATCTTATGTATCAATAGAATGACTTGTTAATCTGATTTCTAGTTTTCATTAATGCAGATACAAATGAATGTTATGAATTGATTTGGATTAATCAGGTCTGACTATGTACAGAAGCAGACTCAAAATGTGAGAAGGAGAAACTTGCAAGGGAATGAACTGGAAAGGAACTTTGTAAGGGGAAAGTTTAAAGGAGAAAGCCTTGAACTATGATTTGAAGGAGAGGCTAATAATAGGAGAAGGAACTGGGGCCACACCAGGGCTGGTCGTCCTCTCTGTCCTAGGGAAGGAGCAGCTGAATTGCGGATCCCCAGCTTATGTTGCAGCCAAAGTGAAAATTACCTTGCTCTTTGGATCTCCTGCTGGCTCTAAAACTAGAGGGATGTCCTGATCAGTGACCAAGCAGGGCGTAGTTAAGTCCTGGAAGAAGCAACAGACAATTCTGGTGTGGCCTATTTTTGGCTCACCAATATTTGGAATGTAACAAAAGCTCAGAGCTTGCTCATAAGAGGTCTTGTTTCTAAATGTTGAAGAAGAATGACTTGACATCTTGGCAAGTGACCATAGAAAGTGGGATACAATATTGAGAGGGCAGAGTAATTTCAGTGCCAGTATACACCCCTTATGCTGGTGCAACAAGCTATTGATTTGGGGTCCTCAGTTACCTTTAGTATCTATAAAGGAAAGCTGCTGTGCTCTCTAGACTCCCCCCAACTTGGGTATGTGGATACAGTGAGCCAAGACCTGCTGAGAAAGCAGTGTTTATATACCACAGGGCTAATAAGCCTCTCTGTCCTGGGGACATGAGCAACTGCACCTGTGGTCTTGAGCCTTCCAGGCTTACTTTTCTAAACCGATTTCTTCCTAACTTGTGAGAGATATCACTGTAGATACATTGCGCATTTCAATACGTATTTCGGTAACTAAATAGCAATAGTGATAAATTAAACAGTTGTTTATTAATGATCCCTTTTACACATTAAGGCTGGCTAAACACTTGGTATTTTAGTGTGCTATCACACCTGAGGAAGGTGTCCATGCTGTGCAAACATTGCTGGATTCCAGCATCTAAAAAAATAATGTGGTGGGTCTTCAGGTATGCATACTGCTTGAACTTGTGGAACTGCCACATTATTTTGACTTCAAGAAAGCCATGGATCACAATACAATACTGCTACTAAACACTGATACTGTCAGAAGTACAAAGACTGATGGGTGCTTGCTAAAACTGTGCAAGGGAGTGTTCATTGCTGGGGAAAATAATAGAATTAACACTGGAATATTTTGGAATAGATCAACAACAGGTATCTATCTAGAAAGGAAGAGACAGAAGGGAGTGTCAGGGAAAAGGAAGAAGAGAAGGCAAAAGAAGAAGTGATAGGACAGCAGTAGGGGTGGCTGAACAATGCAGCAGTGGAGCTGACAAACAGCAAACAATCATGAAAATTAGTGGATCAAGGTAAAAGGGTTCCCTATGCTCACAACTGAGGGCAGCTCAAGACAGACAATGACCAAAATAATAATAATAATAAAATAAACTTCAAGTAAGGCCATATTTACTGTCAGCACCTGTGATCAGCAATGAAAATATTCATTTTAAAATCAAGCTCATTCAGCATATTATATCTTACTGCACTGTAAACATTCCTATTTACATAAGTCTTTAAGCCATTCACATAAAGATCAATATTCAGAAATATTCTACTATTCCAACATATTTTGCATCTGTGTTTAACTAAGGAGAAAGAGGTCTTTGCAGATAAATATACAAAATTAGCTGATAACTTGAACCTTGGCAATATATCTTTGAAACACTATCTTTCATACAAATTCATCACTTTGATCTCCAGTTTGTTTTAAATGTATACAGTATCTCAAGAAAACTTAATGTGATTTTTAAATTAAGCATAAAGCCATGTATATTTGCAAATATGGTAAAATTTAATATAAAAGAGTTTAATCTGACAGTGAATGAAGTAAAACTGGTCTCTGGGCAAAGTGACTCTTATGCAACGTATTCACTAAATGACTACATCACAATAAGAGATGGGCCAAAATTGTCAAGAGATGTGTGGGTGTTTCCAAACACTGGAGATAGTAGTCAAAACAACAGATGATCTGTTAGCACTGAATTATGAGATCACTCAACTTTTTTGCCATCTGAATGCAGTGTAGATTTTGAGATTGGCTGATTTTATGACCTAAGATTGTTTTTACCATGGTAGTAGCACTGAGGAGTCCTTGTGGCACCTTAAAGACTAACAAATTTATTTGGACATAAGCTTGTATGGGCTAGAACCCACTTCATCTTCATCAAATTTGATGAAGTGGGTTATAGCCCAAATAAATTTGTTAGTCTCTAGGTGCCACAAGGACTCCTCGTTGTTTTTGCTGACACACACTAACATGGCTACCCCTCTGAAACCTACTATGATGGTAGGAAATGTTTTTCCATTTTATGAAGACTTTCCACCTATTTTCAAGTTTCCAGATCAGACCTAAAGTAGAGGTGGGCAAAGAGTGGAAGAAATAGATATGAATAGGGTGACCAGACAGCAAATGTGAAAAATCGGGACAGGTATGGGGGGTAATAGGAGCCTATATAAGAAAAAGACCCCAAAATTGGGACTGTCCCTATAAAATCGGGACACCTGGTCACCCTAGATATGAGGGACTATAACTTTGGAAAACTATTCTAACAATTTGTCACCTTTGCCAAGTTTAACATCAGCATAGACGACTGACTAGTGAAATTTAACAAATAAAATGTGTCCCATTTCAGTTTTCACAGTTAATTCTGCGACAAGAATTTGTACTTTGTAACTTTTGTCTATTGGTTGATGCCTTGACACATCCCTCTTCCCTCCCACAAGAGCTGATGGCAGGGCAAAATGTGAAAGATGCAGATACTATTAAAATATTTTATATATATAATATATATATATATATATATATAAAATAACAGTCTGTGATCTGAGAAATAATCAGGAACCACAAAGTTTTCCAGTAATTTTTCCTACATTCCTCCAAAAGAAAAGGGAACAAAATCTTTCTAGCAGAACAGCCCCATATCATCACTGGAAAAATGATTATATCTTGCCCTGCAACTGAGAGGATATTGCAATTAAATACTTTTTGTTTTACTTCTATAGAGCTAGAAGTATGCAGAATATGTAAGAGAAGTTATATCTTCAACAGTAATCTGATCTGTGAATAGCTCTACTCTTTATTATTCTTAAGTGTCATTGTTTTGATATACTATACCAAATGGGCTTTTCAACTTATTCACAAAAAATATTTATTCTTAACGATTTCAGTATCTAATACAGGCAAAGACAGACATAACCTTATTCAAGATTCCATACACTTTGGATGCTGTGTCGTTTTTTAGCCATCCTTAATGCTCTAAGAGTTTCTGAGCTGTAATATGAACAATGAGCATTTTTCAGACATAAAATAAGTTTGTTGCACAGCTTTCTGTGTCTACAAGCAGATGCCTTATAGGATTTGGTGAGGCATTTGTTATTAAAATAGTAGAGTAAGAGAAGGTTTGAAGACTGAAATGAAAAATAAAGATTACTCAGGATCATTTAAAAAACTTTTTACATTATTACATATTTTAACCACATGATGGATTTTAGTCCAGTTTAAGTTTTAGAAAAATGTTTCAATCTCCACAGATGTCAATACTGTTTAATACTGACATGCAATGGAAGAGTCAGGATAAGTTCCTGAATCATGCAGATAAATTAAAATAACATCTCTGAGTATTTAATGCTTTAATAAGATTTGTGTAAACACGATTCCAAATGATGTTCACAATTTGCATAAACTATTAATGTTGTACAGCAGAAATATAATTTCAAGAAAAAACAAAACCTTTATTTAGCCCCTAAATTTAACTCCACCTATTACTACAAAAATGTGAATTAAGAAAACGTACCTGTTGCCTATTACTGGGCATGTATGGCAGCATAGTTGATACATGAAACATTAATTCATAATCTTTATAGGTGGTATACAGGGAATGAGTTCCTGTTGAATCAGCTGAAAATAAATTTCATTATAAAAAGAGGGTCAGTAAAACAGAACATTCACACTGCTTTTAAGACACCACTTGTTGCATATTATGGCTAAAATTTCCTATTTAGATTCCTAATTGTAGGCTAAATGGATTTCAATGGAGCTATGACAGTTTACACCACCTGAAGTTCTGCTCCCTAATTCCATATTAAGGCATAGATAGGGCCTGCGGGTCTTGCCAGAAGCTGTCCACACTGAGCTCCTTGCAAGTTTGGGGTGTGTGTGACCTAATTTTGAAGACAGTAGCCATTGCGGGTTTTCACTGTCTTTTGAAAAATCAAGCCACATATTTAGTTATCTAAATATGAAATTAGCTAACTTCCAGCAACAGGTTCAAAATGTATTCCTATTTTTTTAAAAACATAGCCAAACACATTTAATTTTTCAACACACAAACCATGGCGCACACAGTACTTTCTCCTAAACAACAACAACAATCATAGATTGTACTTACAAATACTTCACAATTTTAAATTTATAGACTAGAAACTCCTTAATCGGCACTTGGCTACTCCATACATTAATCTATAGAAAATATTGACATCATTTTTCTATCTATCATACTTAACAGATACTGCAATTGAGACCTAAAAAAACCCAAACCCTACATTCTATTTCAAAGTACATTATGAAAATTCACAATTATAGCTAAGTTACAGATGTAAAATGAATCAAAGTACAGTTTGTGATGGAAGATTATGGCTTTTGATTTGCAAAATTTTGTAATACATCTCGTGTCTCAGAATCATTACTGTAGTAGCAAATTAACCAATTTTATCTCTCTTTTATAACTTTACCTTACAACGAGAGAGACAAGGTGGCTGAGGTAATATCTTTTATTGGACCAACCGCTGTTGGTGAGAGACAAGCTTTTCAGATCCACAAAGCTCTTCTTCAGGTTTGGGAAAAATAATCAGAGCATCACAGTTAAATATAAGATGGAACAGATTCTTAAGCATAAGAATTTAACACGTCACAAGAAACCATTCAAAATGAACTGGGCAATTAACATTTCTGCAGTCATAGGATAAAGGACAGTTAGTTCGTTATAGAATGTTATGAGACTTAAAACCAATCTCTCTCTTGAGTGTATGATTTTTGGGGTCTAGCAGAGTTATGGATTTAAGCTCCCAGGCTTGTCTTTTGAAGGTGTGGTGCAGGTTATCTTTGAGGGATGAGGACTGAGAGGTCAGATATGGAGTGCTTGTTTTATGAAAAGCATTGCCCATAGGTGACCGTGTTACTGTCTTATTTTTCTGTGTGAGTTCATTTGAGAGTAGTGATTGCCTGATTTCACCCACATAGTTGCTGTTGATGCATTTGGTGCACTGGATAAGGTACTCCACGTGTTGTGACAGGCATTTGTAGGACCCAGGTATCTTGAAAGGTGTATGGTGGAAGGTGTTGATCATCGTAGCTATGGAGATATGTCTGCACATTTTGCATCTGCTCTGCAGGGTCTGGTGCCACTTTGAGTTGGTGTGTCCGGATGGCAGGAAGCTTGTTTCTGATGATGAGCTTGGAGAGGATGGGGGGCTGTTTGAAGGCCAAAAGAGGGGTTTGGGGAAAGATTTCTTCCAGGATGTGGTCCCTATCAAGTATGGTTTGTAATTGTTTGATGATACCCCATGTGGGTTCCAGTGTGGCATGGGAGGTGTGAAATAGGAGTGTGCAGTCAGTATTTTTTGTTTGTTTTTTTCTTGTATTGAAGCAGGTTCTTTCCAGGAATTAGGGTGACCTGTTCCATAATGCAATCTTCTTCTCTGGTGGAGTGTACTTGTTCAGTGAAGACGGTTTAAACTGTTTTAAGGTACATATCCCAGACTTTCTTCTTGGAGCATATTCCATGGTATCTGAATGCCTGGCTAGTAGGTCACAGATTTCTTGGGGAATCTGGGGTGGTTGCTGGATCTGTGAAGCTAAACATGGTGATCCATGGGTGTGACAGTCTACACCATTATGTTCACCTCTTTTACAAGACTATGATACATTTTGTACCAAGTATGCATTGTGAGGTATCATTTGAAAACTCAATGTGCTCATCATTGTCCTAGTAAAATATGTGTATCAACGTTGTATGTAAAGTTATAAGTTTCTATTGTATAACATTGCTGTATCATGTTCCAGAATTAGAAAGGCAGGCCCAAACCCGTTCTTCAGAGACAAAGACGCACTGACACTGTTACAAGAGAATTGGACTTGACATAACTCACAGCCATCTTGTGCACTTAGTCACCATATGCTGGAAATGAGGACATCACGTAGCAAGGAAGAATCTGGCCTTGGCTTAGGCAGACAGAACAAAAACAATAGCTGCAGTGTTACTGCAAGGATAGATACAGTGAAATGACAGATTCATGAAAATGGAAGGGAGTGTAGATAGCTGACCTTGGTCTGGGCACCTGTGTCTTTACATTTCTTGATGAAGTTACTTTGCTGATAAGTAGAATAATGAATTATTATTTGATGTTTCTAGGGAAATTGTTAGCCTATTAGGGGCCATTATGAATTACGTGCTTTGAAGAATCCTATAAAGAGTTTAGTGAGAGTGTACTTTGGAGAAGTTTTGATTTTTTTTTATGAGCAAGCAGACACAGACATCAATCTCCCCAGCAACTAGGAGGAAGGCTGGCTACTGGAGAACTGCTGCTGCCACTTGACACCACCTCAGACTTTGGGTAACTATATCTATTTGGGGTACTCTAGACTATTGCTATTTTAGATGCGTGCTTTGTATTCAATAAAAACTAGGATTTCTCCCTGGAAGCATTTGTGTGTTCCAATTATTTATCAGATGAAGATGCTGTGATGATGAAAGAGATGATTTATTTCCTGACACTGCCTGGAAAACAGAGACTAGTTACCATAGTTCAAATAATCATGGGTAACAGCACTCCCAGACAGATATAAACAAAGTCAAGTGAGCGATTACTTAGTTAAGTGACCATTGTCTGGCAGGGGGAAGGCGTGAACAAGAAATTTACATTTCATCACAAGGGCAGGTCAAACCTCATGTCCAAGAGAAACTGTTTGTCACCACGACTCAGCAAGGATGTTTCTAGCACAAGAAATTGAATTATAAAGAGGGGAGAAAAAACACTTGACCTCACTCTCCTCCTCCATCTCTGCTCATGACATCAACGACCTCAAAGAACTTAAGTTGGGCACAGGAATGGGGTGGAGGAAGTCCTGGCTGGGAGACTTTTCAGCCAGTACAAACTGCTGTAAGCTTATGGAGAGAGAAATCTTGTTCCTTTTAAGTTCACTTAGCTTGTTAAGTTAGACATTTAGCTTGCAATTTAACTTTTATTTCTTTTGTAACCAATCCTGACCTTTATGCCTCTTTACTTGTAGTCACTTAAAATCTTTCTTTTCTTTCTATAGTTAATAACCTTGTTTCACTGTTTTATATAACCAGCGTGTTTGGATTAAAGTGTGTGGGGAAAATCCATTTGGGATAACAAAGCTCGTGTATATCATTTTCCATTGATGAAATGATGGACTTTATATGAGCTTGCATTGTTAAGCAAGGTGCTGGGCAATGCAAAACACATTTCTGTGGGGGAAGTCTAGGACTAGAGAATCGGCTGGTGTTCTTCTGCAGTGCAATTCATGAGTGGTTAGTTAGTAGGACTCAATACTGTGCAGCTGGAAGCAAGTTACAGGCTGGAAGCTGTGTGTTAACTGGCCAGGAGTTGCTGTACAGCAATAAAGCAGTGTAAAAGGTATCCCAGGTTGGAGAACAGAGGAGAGACAGCAGTCCAGATTGTACCCTGGGGTATGTCACGATGGGTTTCTTGCATATAGTGGTCTGTAGGATTCCATTGTGGAAGCTGATCATGGTGTTCAGGAAACTGATGCTGGTATAAGAGTGTTCTAGAAAGAGATGGATGATGGTTGACATTGTGGTGGAAATCTGCGGGAGTTTAGAACATCTGTCCATAAGATGAAAATAGCTTGCCTCGGGTATATCAGTTTTGCATTGCATTTTTCCAGAAATTCTTCCTCAAAGTGGACCAGGAAGACGTTGGCATATTGGGGAGCCATCCTAATACTCACAGCTGTTCCCATGGTTTGGACAGTGTTTGTTGTTGAATATAAAGCTATTATGGATACAGATTAAATGGAGGAGTTTGGCGATATGTTTGGAATGCATATCCGAGTGTCCACAGTCTTGTAGATATTTGAGGTAGGCAGTGATTCCATCATGGTGAGGGATGTTGGTGCATTGGGAGGGGATATCCACAGTAGCAAGGATGGTGTTCTGAGGGAGTTTGTTGATGTTGCAGAGTTTCTGGAGTAAGTCAGTTTTGTCCTGGAGGAAATTTGCCCTTTGTTTGGTGAGTGGTTTGAGGATGGTTTTTCAGAGTTCTGATACTCCTTCAGTAAGAGTCCCATGGCCAAATATGACGGGTCTGCCTGGGTTCCCTTGTTTGTGTAACTTGGGAAGCATATAGAGGTCCTTGCAGTGGGTCTGTGGGGGATGAGGAAGTAGAGTTGCTCTTGGAGTTGTTTAGGGAAGGATTTGATATCCTTAAATTTCTCTGTGAATTGTGGTGTAGAGTCTTCATTCAGTTCTTTATAGTAGATCATGTGAGAGAGATATCGGTTGGCTTCATTGACGTAGCCATCACAGTAGAGGACTACAATGGCACCCAATTTCTGTGCTGGTTTGACAACTATTTGATGGTTGGATTTCAGGGATTGTAGAGCTGTCCTCTCAGCAGTGGAGAGATTGTGGTGGATGCGTTATTTGTTAAGGATTTCACAGTCAATTTTTTTCCTGAGGCAATCAATGTAATGATCAAGTGTGCGGTTTTGTCCACTGGTGGGTGACCAGTCAGATGATTCTTTTTGCTTATGACTGTCAGTAGGGATATGGTAGTTGTGGGTGGTGATAGAATTCTTTGAGGCGGAGTCAGCAAAAGAATTCTTCTACTTCTTCACATTAGTATGACGTCAGG